ACAGGTGAGGGAGGGACCTGGGGCAGGTGCAGGATTTACCAGGCACAGGTGAGGAATATGCCTGGCGCAGGTAAGGGGTGTACCTGGGGCAGGTGGCGGACGTACTTGGCACAGGTGAGGGACGGACCTGGCCCAGGTAAGGACGGGATGGGGACAACAGGACTCATCCCGGCCCGGCCGCTCCCCCGCTGTCCCCTCCCTCCCGCAGGTGCTGCCGCTGTTCCGTGACCTCGGTGCCACCGGGGTGCTGATGGAATATGAGGACACTTTTCCGTATACAGGACCGCTGGAGCCGCTGCGGGCACCGCACGCCTACAGGTACAGCCGTGTACCCACAGGTACTGCCACACAGCCGCAGGCACTGCCAGGTACCCACAGGTACCACCTGCCTGGTACCCCCCGGTGCCCTGGGGCACTGACGTGTCTCTCCGCAGCCCCGCGGAGCTCCGGGCTGTGCTGAGCCGGGCGCGGGCGCAGGGCCTGGACGTGGTGCCGCTGGTGCAGAGCTTCGGGCACATGGAGGTGAGCGGGGCAGGGCTGCCATGGGGGAGCAGGGGGTGGTGCTGAGCTGGCACTGCTTGGGGGGCAAGGAGCACAATGGGATCCTGGGGTGCGTTAGGGAGCATTGCCAGCAGGTCAGGGAGTGATCCTGCCCCCTCTGCTCAGCCCTGGGAGGCACATCGGCAGTGCTGTGTGCAGTGCTGGGATCCTCGGGATAAGAGAGACACGGGGCAGCTGGAGCAGGTCCAGGGGAGGCTGCAGAGATGCTGAAGGGATGGAGCATGTCTGTGACAAGGGAAGGCTGAGGGAGCTGGGGCTGTTCAGCCTCCAGAGGAGACACTGAGAGGGGACCTCCCCAGTGTGTGTCAGGGGCTGCAGGGAGGGGGCAGAGGATGGACCAGGCTCTGCTTGGGGGGCCCAGCAATGGGACAAGAGGAACGGGCAGGAAACAATGCCCAGGAAGCTCCACCTGAACATGGGGAAGAACTTCTTCCCTGTGCAGTGACCCAGCACTGAACAGATTGACCAGAGAGGGTGTGGAGTCTCCCTCACTGGAGATATTCAAAAACCATCTGGACACAATCCAGTGCCATGTGCTCTGAGATGACCCTGCTTGAGCAGGGAGGTGGGACCAGATGACCCACTGAACCATGATGTGATTCTGTTTTGGGAAATCTCTGATGTAAATCCCGATGTTCCCGTTGTCCAGCTGTGCCAGCTGCAGGATTTGGCATCAGGGTCACACTGCACCATTTCCTTCACCCAAAGACTCCTCAGCACCATTGGGTCACAGCCGTGTCCCCCCAGCCTGTCCCTGGTGTTCATTCACAGCCACACCCAGTTTTAGCAGGACCTGCTCTCAGAGCCCTGGTGACAGGGGACACTGCTGTCCCCTCGTTCTCTGGCTGCTCCCCAGGCTCTCCTTTCCCTTGCAGTTTGTGCTGAAGCACAGGGAGTTCGCTCATCTGCGGGAGGTGCCGGCGCTGCCCAACGCCCTGAACCCGCACAAGGAGGAGTCTCTGGCGCTGGTCAAGGCCATGATTGACCAGGTCATGGCCCTGCACGAGGGCCTGGAATGGTTCCACATCGGATGTGATGAGGTGGGACTTCTCTTGAGCCTGGAATGTTTTTCCTTTGAGGATGGTAAGGGCTGAGACTCTGTATGGGCCATTCATGATCTTCGTGATTCCCTTCAAACTCAGAATATTCTGTGATTCTGTGACTCTGCATTTCAGTTTGAGTGGGATTTTGGGGACAGAAAACACAACTCAAGCCAGTGTAGAAAAGTCTTTTTGACACTAAATAATTTCAGGAGCATGGGATGTCATTTCTGTTGGTCTGAGTGTAATATCAAAGTATTGAAAGCAGCTTCTTAAATCTAACTCAGCATGAGTATTTAAAGTGAGATTAAAGTGAGATTATCCATTGGAGCTGTTCATTGCAAATGATATGAGTTTTATGTAAGATGTCTCATTGTTCTGGCCAAGTTACTCAAAATAAGCCTTTTTGTGGTGGGAAATGTTTTTTTGGTTTTTTTTGTCTTGGGAGTTTTTATAAAGCAAAATGCTATTTATGTAGAATAAATGTGTTGTGGGTAAAACCTCCTCTAAACCAACAAAGAGTTTAAATGCATATCCAGCTTAACAGGCCTGAATCCACTCTCTGCATGGACCAAGTATGGGGGGCTGCACTTGGACATGCCCCCAAGTTGCTTTTAGACTCATACAGATGATCTCCTTCCCTGAGACAGGAACCTCATTTTATGTAACTCAGGACCTGATGTATTGCCAGATTTGAAGGTAATAAATGTGGTGAGAGCTACTCCCAAGAACAAACCTTCTAAGGGCAAATACAGCATTTAAATATTTTAGTTTCTATAGGAAAATTCCCTTATGTGATGCATGTAGTCATGGCCACAGTCTCCTGAAGACTGATAGAAATGCTTGCAGTGTCTTCAGCACTGAGAGGTGCTTCTGAGTATGTCCCCTCAGGGTGTCCCATCTGGGCAAAAGGTTTGGAATATTGTATGACTTAATGATACTGTGTCAAACTCATTTTCTTTTTCTGTATAAGCAGTCAGGATTCTTTGCCTGATGTTTCAGGTCTACTACCTCGGTGAAGGAGAGGAGTCAAAGCAGTGGCTGCAGCAGCCAGACAACACCCCAGAGAAGCTGTGCTTGGCCCACATAAAGGCAGTTGCCAGTTGTGTGGCCTCATCTTACCCCAGGGTGACTCCCATCGTGTGGGACGACATGCTCAGGGGGATGAGTGAGGAAACACTGGCAGGTGTGTGACCAGGGATGGGCTGAGGCATGTTTTGTGTCATACAAAAAGGTTTATACAACTAGTTAAAACAGATTTGCTGGCACTGAAAATAATGAAAACAAGAAGAGTTGATACATATACATACATATATATATATATATATATATATGTTTGACCAGAGAATAGAAACACTCAGTCCTTGGCTGTCACAGACTTTCTGTGTGACTGTGGGCAAGACTGAACACATACACTTAAACAAAATGCTCATCCTGCAGTGGTTGCCATCAATTCTACTTTCTCAACACATTCAAATAAAACAGCCTGTGGTCCAAGTCCAAATCTCTGTGCCTCTCACCACCTGCTAATGTTTGTTGTTACTCTGTGCAGCACCTGGTCCCAGTGGTGCAAACACACAGAGAAGCTGCAGCCCTGTGAACACCTCTGTGATCATGGTGCACACCATGAGGACTCGGACACTGAATTGTGGGGTAGCTCCAAGACCTTGACATCATGAGTTTGTTTGTTGAAAAATATGAAACCACTGCTAAAATTTGAGTAGTCTGAGCATAGCTGGAGTTCCAGCATTTTCAGAGCTACCTTACACGTGCTACTGCACCAATAATCTGTACTTAGTTCTCACTTTTACCTGGCTGTTTTCCATTACTTAGGAGAGCTCTGTTCCTTCCAGACTCCGGGGTCCCACAGCTGGTGCAGCCCATGATCTGGGACTATGCAGCCGACCTGGACGTGGAAGGCAAAGGTTTGTGCTTCTCTGCTGACCTGTGTAGAAGCAAAGAGCTGTTTAAGCAAAATAGCCAAAGCAAGATTGTGTCATTAAAACATCCCTTAGTTGGACACCAAGCAATTCTATTTTTGTTAAATTGCTTTTTGTTGCTTTAATAACATAAACACAGCTCGTTTGATTTCACATAAGAGTTGCTATTACTAATTTTCTTTTACTATTTTCTCCTATGAAGGACTTGCATTGTCTGCTGCTTAATTCTTTTCAACACTGATAGGGCATTGAGAGGTTTTTCACAAGCACTGTTACATCAACCCTCCTCACACTGAAACCAGTGGGAGCCAATAGCCCTGTATTGAGCAGCTCTGCAAAAGAAGCTTCAAGGCTTCAGACATCTACAGAATTCAAAGGGAAACTCCTAAAGGCTCCAGTCAGGCATTTAACATGCATGAAAATATTTCTTTGTTGGAAAAAGAATAAGCTGACAGATGTTGTGCAGGCTTGTTACATGCCCAGGGTTCTTCTGTAACAATCCAAGGGAATGGAATACAGTTAAGTGGGCACATGAAAACAGGAGGGCAGCCACCAAAAAGGCTCCTCAGAGAAGGTGTCAAATGTCCCATCCTTGGGACCTCAGCAACCTGTTGGAACTGGACCTTGGTTCCTCTTCAGCATTTCAGCCAGGGCTGAAAATGGAGAAGACTCTTGCTGTGAGTGTCCCTGTGTGTCTCATTGCAGTGCAGCTCATAGAGAAGTATCGGAGATGTGGCTTCTCCAAGGTGTGGTTTGCAAGTGCCTTTAAAGGAGCCACAGGAGTGAATCAGTCCCTCACACTTATTGGGCACCACCTGAAGAACCACCTGGAGTGGCTGGAAGTGGCCAGCAGGACCCCCCCTGATGTCCTTGAAGGTATCGCCCTGACCGGCTGGCAGAGGTGAGGAACAGCCTTTGAAATGGTTCCAGGAAGACAAACTTCCACCCCAAAACTCCCTAAGAGGTACAAGGAGGCTGGGGAGTTGGAAGGGAGCTTTGCAACCCTGCAATCCTTCCTGTCAGTCACTGCTGAGCCTCAGAGTTCCACTCAGGTGGTACAGCACTAACCAGCAGGAGCAATTGTTTTGGAGACACCACCACCAGCAGATTGGGTTTGAAAGCTTGAATGTACTTTGTGCCACCTAAACTGCTTCTAGAGAACATAGTTCATGCGTGGTGGATGTATCTGAATGTCTGATCTGAACTCAAACAGAATGAAGTTGCATAAGAGAGAAGAACTTGTTGATGTAAAGAGGGACTAAAAGGTTTTTATGCAAGTCAGGAGGTCTAAGGGAATACCAGAGAGCTGAATTCTAATTTCTCTCTCTGATTTGCCTTGAGAAAGTAAGTTGATTTTTATCTGTTCTTATTAGTAAGACAAAAATACTTTGTGTTTCAGGGATAGAAGGTCCCTTCTCTGAGACAGAAACTGATGTTTCTAAAGCTCTTCAATTTTAATAATTGAAATATTAAAACTTCCCATTTATTTAGTATGTTCTGCCAGTAAAGTGTCTAATTAATGGATTTTTTTTTACCTAGATATGATCACTTCTCTGTTTTGTGTGAGCTTCTCCCAGTGGCAATTCCATCCCTGGCTGTGTGTCTGCAGGCACTAAAGAATGGTACAATGACAACTTTATTCTCTCTCAGCTAATGCCTTGCACAAGAGGGAACTGCCCTTGCCCTAAGGTTGGCACAGGCTTATTATATTTTGAGGTGGTTTGACTATCTGCTCATGGTCTGAATTATGAACAGTAAATTACAGTTTGCTGTATGGCAGCAGAGAAGCCTCTTGGCCTAAGTATTTAAAAATAGCCATTGGATACTCATCATTTATTATGTTCTAACCCACAGATGATGAAAAACTTCATGTTTGCACTAAAAAAATAAATTAAAGAAGCTGAATTGCTTTTTAAACTGATTTGAAACAATACTGACATATAAATTAGATTCATTTAATTTAGATTTAGATCTTGCTTAAGTATAAAAGTTGCATTGACTAATCTATTTTCTTAAAATGGATGTAGGAAGGACACTGCCTGGTAAAATACTTCCTGTAGCTCTGGTTTCTTTACAGGCAGTTGTCAACAGAAAGGGGTTTTTTTTGTCTTGCTGCATTTCTTATTTTCAAAATAAAGCCCCACAGCTTACTGATTTTTAACTCAGGCACTACAAATATTCAGCATCCTGAATGGGAGGCTCAGAGCTGGGAAGTGCTTTACCAGAAAACTGTGTGAAAGACCTTGTGCTCCACTTCCCACCCACAAGTGTTTTTTCCTTCTTCTATTCTCATTTTACCTTTTAAAAAATCTCCATCCAAGCAGAACTGCTGAGCCAGTGCAGAGTGCTCCAGAAAAACCCTCTTGTATGAATATTTTGGTTCCTTAGGCTCCTTTTGCTTATTTTCCACTGTCTTCTGCCAGGTGGCTACTCTGAAAAGGTTAAAGAAAATGTGGAAAAGCTCCTGGGAATGTCTAACCTGGAAATTGATACTTACATGAGGTAAAATTCCAGCTGGAGAATTTGGGTGCTTCTCGTTGTGTGGTAAGTTCAGAAACTAATGGATCCTCTTTGTCCAGCACAAGTCTGGGCACCTTTCCTGGGAGCAACATCCTCACCCTTGTGACACAAGTGAGTTTCTACCTCAAGTCATCAGTGGATGAACTTCTTGAAAGGAACAGGTAATGAGGTTTATGTTGACTCCCTGCCTGGCTGCCCCAGTGTTGGAGCTGTATCACCTCCAAGTGGGGCACAATTCCAGCAAAGTGATTTAAACATCAAGCTCTGCATTTCAGGCATCATTGGCACCTCAGCAGAACATAATATTTAGCTGAAAATCTAAAATATTTCAGCAGAATTCCTAAATACTATGTGCTGCCTTATTTCAAGCATCTGGTTCTGTCCTGAGTTACATTTTACTGCTATTTAAAATGAAATTTTTGAATGGTGCAGTTACAAAAAAAGGAGCTTGAAATGAAACTTAAACTGCAGCAGATGATTGGTTTTTATCATCTGCCAAGAACAGTCTTTTACAAGCTAGTTCCAAAGATATACAGACTTAAATAAACTTACTCCTTAAGCATTATCTCTGTGCAGAAGTTCAGCTAAAGTCTTACCCACCTCCCTGTCACCCCACAAACACAGATGTCACTGCTCTTTCAAACTCTGCTCCTATTAACATCCATTTTCAGGTATGTCACAGGCTGGTTCAGCCCCTACCACAGGAAAAGGAAGATTATTCATCCTATAATAATGCACCTCTTCCAGCCAGATGCAGTCAGGTAACACCTCTTGTTTTGCATCACATGGGAAATAGTCTGTCATATTTTGGGCACTCAATTACAAGTTTTGAGTCCTTGCCTCTTTCTGTAATTATCTCAGAAGCATCAGTGGGAATCAAACAATATCAAGTATTCATAATATGGTTTTAAACAGAAAATGTTGGGGTTGGATTTAGATGATCAAAGTTCCCTTCCCACTCAAACCATTCTATGATTCTAATTTTATGTTCGCCTGCCTTCTGATGAATAAGTTCTTTGAATACAAGTACAAAACTGGTCTCCAAAAACCTCTCCCTTGTCTACTCCTGTGCACCTCACTGCACTGGTTGGCCTTGGTGTAGGATTTCACCATGGACCAGCTTCCAGACAGGGACAGGAATAAATCCAGACCCTTTTCCCAGCTCCCTGTCACCATGTGCTGTTCAGAACTTGTCCTACACATTTTGCCAATTCATGCTGATTTTTTTTTTTGCTGTGATAAGGTGAATATCCAACTGCATCTACTCTTTCTGATAAAACCCAGAATTAAATTCCCAACAAGTCTCACAGCAGGTTTCAGTTACACTTAAAATGTGTATAGTGGTTTTTTGAGCTCACATCTCAGTACTTTAAAAGTCACTGCATGAGAAAAGTGCCAGGATTATTGGTACTTAAACAGAAACAGCATCAACCTTTTGCCATCTGAACAAAATCAAGTCCTTTGGGCTCTTGTAATAGATGCTTCTTTTCCTGTAAAGTCATTTTAAGGACAGCACTCCCTTCCTAAGGCCAGTAAGCCAACCCTCCCCTGAGGCAGAGCTCGCCTGCAAATGTCATTGTTCCTTCCCTCTCATTTCTGCTCAGTCTCCTCTCCAAGTGGAATGCTGTGGTGCAAGACCTCCAAAGAGCCATGGAGCAAGTTTTCCACCAGTGTGCTATAGAGGAGTGGATGGAGGAGAACGTCCACCCCAGCCTACAGAAGCTGCAGCAAGTGGTGGATGATTTAGATGAAGCAATAAAAGCACAAAATTAGGGGCACTTCAATTAGTCTGTCTCATTCCATGGGAAAACAAGGCTAGTGGAAATCAGCAACGAGTCATGGAGCTGGAGTTTGTCATCTGGAGAGCTGAACTGTGATTAAACAACAGTGACCCGAGGGCAAGAAGGAATTTACTGGTGTAATAGACTTCAAGTCTGGTTTAACCTTCCTGTCTTAACACACACTGAGCCTTAATTCACCTGCCCTGTAAGTCAGGTTTGCTGCCCTTGCATAACAGAATGCAGGAGAGAGTCACAACTCTGGAGAAAAACCCAGTTTCTTCCACATTCAGTATTTTTAGCAATAGACTTTCTTACTTAACAATCCCTGGAAAAGTTCTACAAGTTCTACTCCAGTCAGTTCTCAACATTTCCACCCTTTGCAATTTTCATAAAAAGAAATATTTAGGATACTTACACCATGCTTTAGGTCCTTTGTTCTGTCCTGCCACTCCTGTGTGTCAGCTGTGTTGTGTCCTGCCATTCCATCACTAGTCCTTCCACAGCAGGGAGCAGTTCCAGATTTTGGGTTGGATTTTTTCAGTCTTTGAAACACATAAAAGCATGGGGCTTAAATCCTGCTTTGATTAGCCTGAGGTCAGGGATTAACATGAGCCTTTTGCAGAGGTCTGAGCAAGGCCCTGTCAGGTGCTGACAGGTCACAGCAGAGGCACAAAGGGACAGGTGCCATCCCAGGCCAGAGCCAGAGGGAGCTCCAGGAATGGTGACCCTTGGACTTGGAGGGCAAACTGCCAAACAAACACTGGGCTGCTGCACTGGCTGCCAAAGCATCATTTAACCTCAGCTTAGTCCCACAGAAAAGCACCATCCCACTCTCCAAGGTACCTGTTGAGCTCTGCAAAACCTGAAACTGCAGCTTTGTCCCAGTTTGAGGCATGACTTAAAGTTACTGAATATGAGGGAAAAATGCTGGTTTATTCTGCTTTAATTTCAAACTCTTCATATTGTGTGCCAATATATTTTGTGGATGTAACTGGAGCAATAAGATAAACACCACAGTGGAAATCATTCAAAAGTCTGGTAGTTAAATACATCACCATGAATATTCAAAATATTTACTTGTGCTTCACTTATTCCTTTAATTATTTTTTTTTTTGGGAAGCACAGGTATTGAAATTTTCTTGGAACAATCTCTAGATTCAGAAAGTACAAGTACAGCATAAAACAAACTTTAACTTTCTCAATGAGAGCCTCAGTGATTAGGTCCACATGCAGATTTTTATCTAAAAATAAGCACTTGCTATGCAGACCTTAACTAGGAAAGTTACATGCCTTGAACTAAACAAGATCTTAACTTATTTTCCTTGAATAAATCCTTTGATACTCAAACTGTTTGTGGAAATGTGCTTCTTTTTTGTGTGTGTGGCATGTTGGTTTGGTTTAAAGGAGGGAAGATGGAAATATATTCACCAGTGGAGAGCTGGATCCCCATTAACTCCTCCAGCAGGTCCGTGTCAAGTAGTAATTTAGACAGCCATTAATATTTTAATAATTTTAATTAAAAACAATACAAAATACTACAGTGATGCAAAACAAGTTATCAAAGTTGATTTTATCAATGGACTTTTTTTTAAAAAAAGACAGTATAACAAGGCCTTGCTGCAATTCTACTTGCAATTTTACAGTAAAAAAAAAAAGGCAATTTCTAAAGAGTTTCAAGAAGGATTTTTGCCTCAGCAATCTATGACAGTGTCATGACTAGCACTCTTTATTTACTATTAAGCCAGCTGTGTTTTTGGTATCTGTAACTTCATAAATACAGCCCAGGAGTCAGATATCAACCAGACAATTTAAATATTTTGATTTTCTTGCACAATTGATGCTACTTCACTGTGAAATATCCCAATATTGGATTATACCTTACCTAAAGCAGTGTTCTCCCTCTGTACAGCATGCACTCCATGCACTCTGGCTTTTGTCACTACAGCACAGTTGTGGTAAAGGACATGACAGAAAGGGTTGGTTTTATGGGGCAGGGTGTTAAGTCTAACCTAAGCTCTGGTTTTAAATAATTTCTAAGTCTTATAAAGTACAGCTGTCCAGGCACAAGTCAGTAGATGGCCTGATAAGCAAAAAAGACAACTACATCTCCTGTAATACTGTCCCAGGAGTACCTAATTTCCTAACAAAACTAGTCTTTCACATCATTCTTTGAGTCCAAGCCACTTCACACCAGGCACACCTAAGGCTGCATTTACTGGGCCTTTCAAACTGCTGGGCCCAGGAGGAGTGAGGAAAACCATCCAAAAAAGCCTTTGGCAAAATGGTAAGAAGTGGCAAAAGAGGATGAGAGAGGACTAGTCCAAAGAGGGAAGAACAGCACCTGTCCTGAGTTAGCACCTGCTGTCCTCAATAGTTCAAGCTGCACCACATCACTGAGGAGTGCACAGACACTGCCAGAACCAAATCCATGTTTAAGGCCATTTGCAAGTTAAATTTACACACACACAGTTACTGCAAAACATGATAACATGGTGATGTCTTCCAGCTACAAAAGATAAAGTTTTTGAGGACAGGAAGCAAACGTGGACCAAGAGAAACAAGAAGCTCCCAAGTGTATCAGACAGCAGTGCCCAAATACACCAGGCAGAACCCACAGTAAGAGACAATTCCCTCAGTGCTTCCCTTTAGCTCAGACTATGGAATTCAGGTTCCTGTTGGAGCTGTTCTTGTTTGTACAGTGGCAGAGTTGCCCAATGCCAAATGGAAATGACACCCCTCTCAGACACACATGGCAGCTCCAGTGCATGGCAGCTCCATCCCTCTCCTGCCACCACTGCAGGACACTGAGGGGGACACCACACAGCACCTTCAAAGAGGTGATCACTGGACATCAGCCCAAAAGGCAACTTACTCCTCAGGATGTACTTTAAGCCATGTTGTACCTTATTACAGGTCATTCCCCTTTCTGAGGATTCTCAGTTTTCCTTACCTTGTTTCAGTGTTTGTGAGTCATTGCATAGTCCATAAGGACATCCATGACTGACACCAGGATTGCACAGGAAGCTGGATGCACAAGAGCTCAGCAGAAGCAGGACACAGGGTGCAGTGCAGGGTCACACCAGCACACGTACCTCTCAAAAGCTGATTTCAACTGGAAAACTACAGCATGGTTTACATCTTCCATGGAATGTCAGCTCTCATGGGAATACAAAAGAAACCCAGTATAGCTATGACTGAATGCAGGTAGTTTTTCCTGGTTTATCCATGGGCTCAGAATGTAAGTGCAGTGCACACCACGAGTGGCCTCTGCATGTCCCTGACTCAGAGCAGCAGTTACCACAGGCTGTGCCTCCACTGTACCATTAAATACTCTAGGTTATTTCAGTATTTCTTACTGGAAGTCCTGAGAACACTCATCATTCTCACTTTACACTGTCAGGAAAAAAAGAGTTCTCCAAATCCCCAATGTCATTCTCCTCTCTCTAAAACAAGCACCACTTGGGGAATAGATTACAATGGATTTAAATGAGGAACTCTCCAAGGTGTTACACCCTGCAACATTTAAACAGGTTTGATAACTATGCTCAACCTACAGCTGTGCTTCAGAATAAAGGCCAAATTCAGCTAATTGCCTAATTTTCCCACATTCACACACAGCCCCTTCCCAGTTGCAGTGATGGGGGTAGGGACTGAAAACCACGTGATTATGCCACTGACTCAGAGGACTTGACAAACATGTACTGGCAGAGTTCTGCCTTGGTACCTGATGTGATTACAAGGGTCTTTTCCTATTTAAAGGAAACATCTCCCTGCTGCAGGGAGGTTACCTTCACCCTGCCAGCACTGAGCCTTTGCCTCACAGCCACATCCCAGGGCTGAGCAGCTGGAAGGCAAATCCTGGTACAAGCTGGGTTTGGTCAGAGCAGCAGGTGCTCAGCTCCAGGTCTGTGGAACACACAACAGGACAGGGCTTCTGCTGAAAGCTTTTCAGAGCCTTGTCTCTGTAGAGGTAGAGCAACTTGAAACACAAACACAGGCTCTTAAGTCCTAAAGGAACTGCTGCCAGAAGACATTTGCTGCTGGCCAACCAAAAGCAGACAACAGTAACCTTGTACCCTGTTCACATTTCCTAGAAGTAACTGTGTAAGTATTTTCTAATTCAGGTCTTAAGACCATAAGATTCCTAAATAAAACCTAGGGAACTTCAGTACAAGCATGGTGAAGGACCTTTCAGCTCTTTACAATTTTGTTCTTGTACTGACATATTGATGTAGACACGATGGAGTTTTACTTCTAGACAGAATATGTTGAATTAGAGAGGTAGCTTTTACTTCAAAAAATACCTTGAAAAGTTAATATTTAAACTATTTGTGAAATCGTTGGTCAGAACAGAGGACACCACACACCTGGAGTAAAACATGGTACAAGTCAAACATGGAATCTACCCCAGCTATCTTAAAAAAATTATTATTTAGCACTTCGGTATTTCAAGTGAGGAAATACTGAACAACTCTAGGCTACCATGTTGTTTGACATCAGACTTTTCCCTACCCAAAGTAACAGATGTCCTTCCTTCCTTTCTAAACACACAGTTAAAATAGTAAACATTGAGGTCTAGGAAAAAGTTATTCTGTCCTGGGGCAGTCTGTGCCCAGCAGTGAAGCAGAACAGGGTTAATCTAGAACATCCCAAAGACACTGAATCATCAGCATGATCATTCTTCCCTTTGCTATTCATGGCTCCTCAGCCAGGCCAAGGGAAGTTAAAACCATGTCACAGGTTAAACAACCTGGTGTTCTGAATTCCAAGACAGGTACTCAGACTTAAATTTCCATGGGTATCTAATGGCAAGTCAGTAGTAGAGAATATAAAAGTGCCACTACTCTGCATCACCTAATTGCATATATTAAGCTGCTTAAAACGGATTTAGCAATATATTCAGTCATAACATTTCAAGACAAACCTCAAAATGTTGTGTCAGGAGTTACAAATTCAACTCTTCTACACCTCATATACTGTACCTGCAGCAGATGTTTGCAGTGAGAGGCTGTTTACATCTGCATCTCCACTTCACTAATGGGAAAGCAATTCTTTCATACCAATCCATCAATAAATAATTATTCCTAGACAAGTTTGGTGAGCTGACAAAGTTCAAAAGCCAGCAGTGTCCACATGCAGGAATTA